CGATGGAGGAACTTGAGCGCGTGAGCACGCGGGGGCAGCGTCCTCACAAACGCGTCCAAGGCCGCGTCCAATCACCGAGCGTGTTCCCGATCCAACGCTCCAATTTCAATGACCCTGCTCTGGGTAACAGTGCCGCGACCTCATTCCAGCCACCTCCTCTGGGCCAGATGACTGTCTCCACCATCTTGAGAGATTTCTGGGAAAGCGAATTTTATAAACTCCTTCGGAAATGCTGGCAAGACATTCTTGCACATACCCATCTGTCTAGGTCAACGACTTCTTTCGTCCAAGTGAGTGCCTCCCCCTCTCTCCCTCCTCCTCCCTTCCTCCCTCCCACCTACCCATCCGCCCATTCATTCAGTCCTCATGAAATGCACACCATGAAGAAGTGCTGGGGTGAGAAGGGTGAATGAGGCACGGCCTGGCCTTGAGGGGTCTGACAGCACAGCATATGTACCCAAAGCACAGGGATCCCCCAGAAACGGTGCCAACAGCCACAGGGCAGTGCACCAGCTCACACCCTGTAAGCACACCAGAGTCATCATGCATGGAGAATGCCTGATTTTACAGACCCTCTCTCTGCACACAAAATGACCAACTAAGTAAAAACCAAAACCCAGAAACAGACAAAAGAGCACCACGTCTAAGTTTAAGGTGACTCTTCAATCCAAATGATCTGGCTTGAATTGGGGATGAAAAGAAACGCTTCTTTAGAAAATACAGAGACTTCAGAGGCTGCCAGGTGGCATGGTAGTTAAGGAGCTGGCCTCCCACATGGCCAACCATGGTTCAAGTCCCGGACTTGGAGGCTTGCTTTCTCACTCCCCTCTTCCCCCTGTGTCTCTCTCTGGTCAAATTAAATAATAATAACAATAAATAAAATTAAATGATTCTTTTAAAAGACAGAGAAAATTCAGACTGATTTCTCAAAAAAGAACACGTCGTTTTCTCTGATTAAAGTCATGTGAAAATTTGTGAAATACAGAAATGAATAGAAAAGAAAAAAGTATCCAACAATTTACTACACAAAAATAACTGCTTAAGACACACATCATTTTACAAAGGACAAATATGGTCTATCTATTTATAATTTAAAAATAAAAGGGAATCATGATGTGCCGGTCTGCTGATAGCCTGCTAATAGTCTCTGTAATACTTTTTGATACTTTGCTTTGTTTTCTTTTCGAATTTTACTATAGGGCACAGGCACTTGCTGGAGAGAGACGGAGTGAAAGAGTGAAAAAGGGAAACTGAGAAAGCACCCCAGGGAGGATGGCCACCCTGCAATTCCTTTTGCTCCATTCTCCTTCTAAGATCTTAGACATGCATGCACACATACCTGGCATGTACTTTCAAGCCACTGGGTCCAGGACTCGAACCACACAGTCAGCCATGTGGGATCCAGCAGCCTTAACCACCACAACATTGGCTGGCATTTTGCTTTCATCTTAAGTATCTTTTGAAAACATGCCTGTTTGGGACCAGCAGTTGGCATAATGGCTATATCGCTGGACTCCCATGTAGTCGCCTGTGGTTCAAGTCCCAGACCTGGAGGTTTAAACTCATGCTGGGCGCATGTGCGTGCGTGCCCAAGATCCCAAGAGGAGAATGGAGGAGAAGGGATTGTGGCGTGGCCATCCCCCCTGGGGGGTGATTTCTCGCTTTCTATCTCTCTGTCCTTCTGGCAAGTACACACACCCTATAGCAAAACCTTCTCAGAAAAAAAAAAAAAAGAAAAAGAAAAGAAAAAGAAAACATGCCTGTTTAATGGTCACCCAGTATTCCACATCGATGTTCCATGCTGAGTTTGATTCATTCTCTATCACTGACATTTAGAGTAATTTGAGGTTTTCATGATAATTTGAGGTTCTCACGAAGGCATAAACACATAACACATACATCTCTCTTCTTAATTCCTTACAATAATTTCCTACAAGCACAAGGCCCGTGTCTTAAGGGATGCGCCTTTGAAGGCCTTTCACGCACACTAACAGATGAGTTCACAGGCCCGGCCTCATTTGTACCTCCACCAGCAGGATATGAATACATCCATTTTTCTGAACCTTACCAACGCCACGTCTTTTGTCTTTTGTCTTTTTTTTTTTTTTTTTCATTTGTTAGGCAAAGGGAGGTGGTATCAAGTCATTTTGATGTGCAGTTCTGAGCAACAGCGAGGCTATATTTTCCATATGTTTAGTGTGTCTATACATGCCTTTTTAAACACTCGTTCATATCCTTTCCTCCCTTCTCTCTACTGAGTTAAAATATAACTTCTGGTAACTTTCCCTTTCTGGTCCAAACGGTCACTTCTGGAAGCATCCTAAGTAAGATGAATTCCTCTCCACGAGACACCCCCTCAAATACTTGAAGACAGAAATCATGTCTCGCTTCCTCCAAGACAAACACCCTGGCCCCTTCAACCACTGCTCCTGTGGCAAAGCTTCCAGGCCCAGTGCTGAAGCCCGAATGCGCGAGCCGTCCCGGCCCTGCTGCCCAGTAGGCTCCCATACCGTCTCAGAGCTACCCGAACTTCCAGGAACGCTGGGCCCCAATCTCCTCTGCAGGCTCTCTGGACGGCAGGCACCTGCTGCCCTGGGCAAACTTATGAAAAAACATCAGAAATACTTTTCCTTTTTTAGACTTTTTTGCCTTAGGACATGTGTGCTTGCTGGTGAGATAGAGAGACAGAGGCCATGAGAGGCAGAGTGAGAAATCATCCCCGGGGGCATGGCCACGCTGTATTCCCTTCTCCTCCATTCTCCTCTTGGGCACGCACTCACATGTGCCTGGCATGATTTTTCAAGCCATCAGGTCCAGGACTCAAACCATGGTCAGCCATGTGGAAGTCCAGCCACATAACCACTATGCCATCTGCTGGCCCCTAGAAATACTTTTAAAGAAGTCCAACTGACATGCTAAGAGAGGAAAATAAATGAAAGAATATAAAATTTTCAATGAAAACTAGAGAGGGCAGAAAAAGGCGGGGGTGGGGAAGAGGGCACAAAGAATAAAACACAATAAACAGGAACTAGAGTAGCTATTAATCAGACTATCAATAATTATATTAAATGTGAAGGGTCAAAGCACACCATCTAAAAAGGCAGATGGTCAGAGTGGATTTAAATGAAACTGGATCCAACATACAAGTTGGCAACAAGAAACACACTTTAAATACAAAGACACAGTAGGAAGTTAAAAGAATGGAACAAAATATACCATGGCAGCACTAACGAAAAGAGAGGTGGGGGGAAGCTGTATCATTTCAGGCCAAGCGGAATTCAGAGCTGGGAAATTATCAGGACAAAAGAGGGGCATGACAGAAAGGGGTGGATTCTCCCAGAACACATCACACTCCTTAGCACCGTATGCACCAAACAGCGGCGTTGCAAAATACATGCAGCACAAACAGGCGAAACTGAGGAAGGAGACAGGCTTGGGGCTTACAGTGAGGGTTAAGGCCCCAAACACAGACACAGTAAACGCAAGATTGTCACAATGGCTACATTTAACAGACCAAGAGCCAAGAGCTGGCTGCACTGGGCTCCAAACTGCTACAGTTAAGTGCAACTGTTTCCAGTTGCTAACTGCATTCTAACAAAAAGCACAGACCTTATCAACTGCTGACCCCAGGAAGAACAGAACAGAGTAATAAAGCACCCAGACGACCAAGTAACTATTTTCTGAAGCCCACATCCCTATCAGAGCCAGCCCATCCTCAGACTGCTACATAAAAAGCTCTCGGCTCTAGCCTCAGCTGCTCTTCTGCAACCCATTTCCGGGGGCTCCGGGGCCACCCAGCTTGGAAGCTCTGCTCTTCCTTCCCTCTCTCATGAAGCTCCACTTTGTTATCCCTTCTCTGGCACTGGTGTCGGGCCCGATCACCCCAATATCTTGCATCAAAATCAAGGGTAGAGGTGAGAGTTCAACATTGCTCTTTCAGCAACTGATACATCATACCAGGGGTCAGCAGATGGTGTGGTGGTTAAGGCGCTGGACGCCCACATGGCCGACTGCAGGTGGAGCTTGGGACCCAGCAGCTTCAAAGATCATGGCAGCCATGTGTGCGCGTGTGCCTAAAATCCCATGAGCGGAATGGAGGAGAAGGGACTGCAGCGTGGCCATCCCTCCAAGGGGTGACTTCTCACTTTCCCTCTCTCTACCTCTGCAGGTCTCTCTCTCTCCCTGTCTCTGTCTCTCTCTCTCCAGCGAGCACATGTGCCCTATGGCAAAAAGCTAAACTCAATGCAGATATAGCTTTGTATATAGTGTATGGAAAAATGGAATTAAAGTACTAGTTTACTTTGGTGCAAAAACCCCCCAAACTCTTCAAATCTATGTACGGTTTTTTCACAATATATATTTTTATGAACTTTTCCCCTTACTTGCCAAAGGGCATACACGCTCACCAGAATGAGACAGAAAGACAGAGAGAGAGAAATGGGACAAAGCATCCCCCAGTGGGGTGCGGTCATGCCACAACCCTTTCCCTCCATTTCTCTATCCCTCCAGGATTTGGGGCAATTACACACAGGTACCCAGCAAGTTTGTTAAGCTGCCAGGGCTGAGATACAACTGCATGGTCCGTCGTGTGGCGCCCAGCCCCCTTAACCACCAGGCTAAGGGGCTGGTCCTCTTTTCTGTAGACAGGGCCTCACTATGTCATGAGCCTCCCGCCTCAGTCTCCCTAATTAGCTGGAAGCACAGGTTTGCACTGTCATATCTGGGGATCGAACCTAGGCCTCCCATGTGGCCATAGCCTGCCAGTGCACAGCACTGCAGCTGAGCCAAGAACACACTTCTTCAGAGAGAGGTTTTTGCTATAGGATGTGAGCTCTGTCAGAGAGACAGAGAGACAGAAAGCGGGTCTGGGACTCAAACCGCAGTCAGCGTTGTGCGAATTCAACGACGTAACCGTTATGCCACCTGCTGGTCCCAGGAACACGCTTCTAAGAGACGCCAAGGGCAGGTGTGAGCGGTATCCAGTCCCGTGGGGTACTCACCCGCGGGCGGCCAGGCCTTGATGTACCCTGTGCAGTGGACCACAGCGTACTGAGCTTCTCCGTCCTTCACGGGGCCAAGGCCGTTCCTAAGGAGAGAGCGTCCGGGAACTGTCTTCCCCATCCCACGAGGGCCGCCCACGACTCCACCCTCCACCCTGATGCTGTGGCACCAGAGCTACAGGCTCCCTCGTTCGCCTTGGTGGTTTCAAATCCTGACCTTCCTACCCTCCTGTTTTCCCTCTTCACACGTGGTCTGAAAGCCCAAAATACGTCCCCCTCGACCGCTCCTTGTCTCGGCCACTGGCGCGTGGGCCTCAGCCACCTCCTCCAGCTCGGCCCCAAACCCACGTCCGAAACAATACTGACCTGAACCGTTTCCTCATGGTGGTTATCCTGTTCAGAGGAAGGTGGTCCAGAGGAGCGTTGCCACACCTAGGGTTTGATACATGAGTGACATGAGAATGACCGGAATTCCAGGCAAGTCCCAAAGCGCGCGGTGTGCGTTCAGGCCGCGGGCCCTAGCTGCCAGCCTCACATTCATTCAGGCAATCCTGCAGCCGGCTTCCTGCAGAGGGCCTGCCTCGGTGTGGGGGACCACCGAAGGCAAAAGCGCGTAGTCGGCGTTGCAATACCTGCGAGCTCGTTTCAGGACCCAGCCCAGAAGCTCTGACCGACAGAAAGTTGCTGGAAGGGACCTGGCCACGCTCAGGGTCAGATCACTTCAGTGGAACTGGGGGGCCTTCAGGAAAGCGGGGAAGAGGGTGACGACAGCGAAAGTGTCTCCTCAGGCTTGAGCGGAGACAGCAACTGGAAACAGATGTTGCTACTGGACAGCCGGTAGCATCTTCTCACGCTTCTGCATCCCGGCTGCGGGAACCCAGCCCCGGGCGGCGGGACCCCAGCCCCGCCCCTGCACTGGGGTTCAGACACAGCTGGAGGCCTGCTGACTGCAGGGGATGGGGGTGAGGGGGAGCCTAAGGGTCTCTCTCTGGGAGGCAGGAGAAGGGAGGTGCCCCACTGCCCACTCCGGCAGGCCCTTTGCTGCCCTTCTCAATGCCTGGGCACTGCATGTCACCGCCTGCACGTGGCTGCCCGCTCCGTGGACACCTCCGCTTCCCTGCTCCATGACAGGCAAGGTCTTGGATGTCTTCATTGTCAACACAGCAGACAGATGTCCGATTACACTCTGAGACCTTGGGCAGCGGCCAGCACCAGCGTGCTTGTCACAGCGGGGGCCATGCACAAGACTGCTGCCAGGGAGGCCGGCCGGGCCTTCTGCCCTTCCCGGCACGCTGCGCCCTGCGTTTGGCTGAAACTGAGCCGCTTCCTTAGGAGAGGGTCCTGCCCACCTCTCAGGTAAGCCCAGGCAGTGTGGGCCCGGCACGCTAACAAGCAACATGGAACATGTCCCCGAGAGGGCCACCAGCGCAGGGAGGGGACTGCTGAGTCCTGTGACGGGGCAGTGACAGCAGCACCACAGACTGCTAATAGCAAGGGTGTAATGCGATGCTTCCAGTCCACTCGCTCCTAAGGGACTCGCTTAGAGGGTGCCGCTGAGGACTGATCCTGCTGGTTGAGAAGGGTGCCTGTGGGAATACCCTTGGTCTGACCATCAGGGACTACCTGCGTCATAAAGACGCACCACGATGGCATTTACATTTTTAAACTGTGCTAATAAAAACAAGAAACTTACATCTACCTGCTGGTGTTCCGCGTGGCCACCAGGCTGGGGTGGGCACTCACTCTGTTTTCCAAAGCACTGCAGGGCAGCCCCACTGTGGCCGGCTACACTGACTGACGGTGTCTGACCCTGGGTGGACGCAGAGCCACGGGCCTCTTGCAGCCCAGCCTGCGCCGTCTGCAGCATGGGGTGTGCGTGGAGAGGGGGGGTGCACGGGGGGGGGGGTGCAGTCTGCGGAGACTCAGCCCCGACTCGGATGTAGACAGCTGTGCCCTGAGGCAAGGGTGAAGGAGGTTTCATCCATATCTTGGGAAGAATTCCAGATGCCCAACCTGATGGAAGGAGACTCCGAGGACAGGGCTCCACTCAGTTCCATGGAGGGCTATTTCTTGCAGAAGGGAGCAGCAGGCCTCTCCTGGTTCTGCGGGCCCAGCGAGGGGGTCAGAAACAGATCTCCCCTCAGCCCAGAAACCCTGATGGTCTGAGGGGGCCTAACCGGCTTGGATACAGGGATATTGTTTAAACAGAGTAGCTGCTGAACAAGACCGCTTTGAATGAAAGGAAACTTTGTAACTGCTGTCTGGAACTTCATAGGAGAGCACCTCACAGAGGCGCCCAAGCGTCCAAAGTGACAAGTCACAGTTCCAACAGCAGACACGGAGTGCAAGTGACAGCAGTGGCTCGGCTGCGTGGGGTCTGTGACCCGGCGCATCGCTGATGTGGGGGCTTGGCGGTGTCAGAGGGGAGAGTAGTGCGAGGGAGTGTGGGGTGGCTGGTTATTGGGGTCAGTGCAGAGCCACGCTGGCTTGTCAAAGAGGTGTGCGAAGAGACCCAGGCAGCCGCGAGCCAGGGACACAGGCACGGGCTTTATTCTGGAG